CATGGGTATGTACACATTTGTGGAGATGTGTGCGTGCGTGCATGTGCGTGTGCATGGTTCTGAAGGTGTGTGTATGTGTGCGTGTGTGCGTGTGCATGTTTGTGGAGGTGTGAGTATGTGTGTACACATGTGCATGTTTGTGGAAGTGTGTGTGTGCGTGTGCATGTGCATGTTTGTGGAGATGTGTGTATGTGTGCACATGGGTGTGTGCATCCTTGTGGAGGTGTGTGTGTGTATGTGCGTGTGCATCCTTGTGGAGGTGTGTGTGTGCATGTGCGTGTGTGCATGTTTGTGGAGGTGCGTGTGCGTGCATGTTTGTGGAGGTGTGTATGTGTGCGTGTGTGCATGTTTGTGGAGGTGTGTGTGTGTGCACATGCGCATGTGCACGTTCGTGGAGGTGTGTGTGGGCACGTGTGTGCATGTGCACGTCCGTGGAGGTGTGGGTGCATGTGTGCATGTTTGTGAAAGTATGTGTATGTGTGCGCCTGTGTGTGCATGTTTGTGGAGGTGTATGTGTGCGCGTGTGTGCATGTTTGTGGAGGTGTGTGTGTGTGCATGTTTGTGGAGGTGTATGTGTGCGCATGTGCACGTGCGCATGTTCCTGGAGGGGTGTGTGCGCGTGCATGTGTGCATGTTTGTGGAGATGTGTATGTGCACGTATGCATGTTCGTGGAGGTGTGTGTGTGCGTGCATGTTTGTGGAAGTGTATGTATGCGCGTGTGTGAATGTGGAGGTGTATGTGTGCATGTGCACGTGTGCATGTTCATGGAGGTGTGTGCATGTGTGCATGTTTGTGGAGGGGTGTGTGTGCATGCGCATGTGCATGTTCATGGAGGTTGTGTGTGCATGCATGTGCGCACGTTCATGGAGGTGTGTGTATGTGTGCGCATGGGTGTGTGCATGTTTGTGGAGGTGTGTGTGCATGTGCGTGTGTGCATGTTTGTGGAGGTGTGTGCGTGTGCGTGTGTGTATGTTTGTGGAGGGGTGTGTCTGTGCATGCGCATGTGCAAGTTCATGGAGGTTGTGTGTGTGCGTGTGCATGTGTGCATGTTCGTGGAGGTGTATGTGTGTGCATGGGTGTGTGCATGTTTGTGGAGGTGTGTGTGTGCATGTGTGCATGTTTGTGGAGGTGTGTGTGTGCATGTGTGCATGTTTGTGGAGGTGTGTGTGTGCATGTGTGCATGTTTGTGGAGGTGTGCGTGTGCATGAGTGCATTTTTGTGGAGGGGTGTGTGTGTGTGCATGTGTGCATGTTTGTGGAGGTTTGTGTATGTGTGTGCGTGCATGTGTGCATGTTTGTGGAGGTGTATGTGTGCACGTGTGTGAGAGTTTGTGGAGGTGTATGTGTGCGCATGTGTGTGTGCATGTTTGTGGAGGTGTATGTGTGCACGTGTGTGTGTGTTTGTGGAGGTTTGTGTATGTGTGCACATGCGTGTGTGCATGTTTGTGGAGGTGTATGTGTGCACGTGTGTGTTTGTGGAGGTGTATGTGTAAGCATGTGTGTGTGCATGTTTGTGGGGGTGTGTGTGTTAGCTTCGACTGGAAAATCAGGTAAGAAGTGGGTTTGAACTAGAACTTGATGGCTGGGCAATGATCCATGAAAGGAGATGTGGGTGAGGACATCTAGGTGGATCAACATTATGGGCATGGGGAAGCAGGGAGTTCTCATGGCCCTGGAGGCTGCCCATGTTTCTTCCAGGCCTTGTTCCCCACTGTCCCTGGGTTTTGCACGTCTCCAGGGTCAGGACTCATGGAGAACACTCCCAGCATCCTCCTTGCCTACACTCCACTTCCATTCCCCTCCAGGCCAGGCTAGAACCAGGGCTGTCTTCACGAGCAGGGAGGAGCTGCCATCTGTTCCCGCTGTGGCATCCACACTTGTCACTACCTTGGCACACCCAGTTCCGATCCAGCCATATGCATGGTGGCCTGGTCATATCAGCACCCTCTAGCTGGTACAGAGCCACCCAGCGGCGGTGCTAGGAGCAGACTGGACGTGTGCTGCAGCTGCTCCTCTTGCCAGCACCGCTCCACAGAGACCCGGGGATGAGTCCACCCATCCTGCCTCCCACCAGCTCCACAGTTCAGCCTGAGATCTCTGGCTCTGCACCATGAGACAGAACCCGAATCAGCTCCAGGAACAAGTGCCAGCCCCCACAGGGATCAAATACACCCTGGATCTGGCCCCAAGGATGGGTGAGCCAGGAGCAGCCGAAGAGTGTGCTTACGTGCTTATGCAAAGGTGTCCGTGTATTTTCCTGGCTGCATCTGTGTGTTTGGGGTTGTGTGTGTGTGTACATGTGCACACGTGTATTATAGGATGTGTATTCTCTGGTTTGTAGAGTATGTGTACGTGGTTGTGCATGTAAGCACACTTACCGGAGTAACAACCTCACCTGCGAGTGGTGGTGTGTGTGTGTCTCATCCACATGTGCGTAGAAAGAGATTTCTTTCATTCGCTGGGCATGTGGACAAAGCCAAGAAATGTTACGAAGGTGGTGGAGGCCAGAACCTCTCTCCGTGCTGACTCCAGCCAACCACTCGAGTGTGGGTGGACCTTTTGGGCCACGTCCCCCTAGCTAGCCCAGAGCTGTAAGCCACAGAGCAGACACTGGGTGGGGCCTCCCTCCGGGGGTCCCCCACAAGGCAGGCGGATCATAGGGACTCACAGGGTTTCCAGCTGCTCCAGGAGCCCCATGTGCACCTTCCTGTCCCTTAGCACCCTGCACAGGAAATAAAAGAGGGGCGGGGGTAAGAGACCCTCAGTGATGCTGTCTTCCCACACGCCAGGGAGGTCTCGGGATACCGTGCTCATCAGAAGCATGATTCCAAACTGAAGGGGCCAGGAGCACTGTCTAAAAGGTGAAGAAAACCACTAATTCCTGGCCCTTTGTTGGAGCTGGGTGTATCGCGATTTCATTCCTTCCTCACCGCCGACCCAGGGTATAGGGGTCAGCACCAACCCTTCGTAGAAATGTAGCTCAGAGGGGCTCACACAGCCACGCAGGGTCCCCAGTCACCCCAGCAGGGTCTCCCACCATAGCACAGAGTCTCCCAGAGAACCAAGATCCAGTGCAGAGGCTAACACCGAGCAAAATGACAAAATCAAAGCACTAACATGCACCAGGTGTCATCTAAACCAGCATTGCCACTCCATGGCTGGGATCCATTTCCTGTTCTGCAAATCCTCTGGGAACCAAGGTGCCCGCTGTATGCAGAGGCCCTTGCTCTCCAGATCCCACTGAGCAGGAGAAGCGAGAGCACGGCAGAAACCCGGAGCTCGCCTACACCAACCCTTCAGTGACAGAGTAGGCACATCCAGGGGTACAGAGGTGGGGCCTGGCCCCATGGCTATGTCTGGGGCATTTAGTGAGGGCCACATAGCCTCTACAGCACCTTAGGGCAGCTCTCCCCAGCGTCTATTCCCAAAATGCCAGGGGAGAGAACTGGGGAGGGTGGCCTGGAGGGAGAGAGCGTGGCTGGGATCTCCAAGTCTCTGAGTCAGCAGGGGAAGGGATGATTTTCTTACCGGTGGTCCAACAGGTCCCCGAGGCCCCAATTCTCCAGGACGGCCCTGCGGTCCCTGTAAGCACACAAGTTGCCATGAACCAGCTCATCCTCCTGGTTCTGAGCAGATGGGTGGGTGGGGCAGGGACACTGCAATGGGTATAATTTGAGATCCAAGGAGGGGCAGTGGCTAGTGTCCTGAGGGGTAGAAAGGGCTGCCTTCCATTCAGTGGGGCTCCTGCGTGTGGACTGCATGGTGCAGATGTAGAGCTGGGCAGCCTTTGGAGTCCAGATCTTCAGGTAACCAGCCCTGTGGGGGAAGGGGGACACAAGGACTCACCGGTTCCCCAGGCATGCCTGGATCGCCCTTCTCTCCTTTGGGCCCTTGCTCTCCCTGTTGGTGAGAAGCACAGGGTAGAGTGGACTTCAGGGAGAATTCCCCTCATCACAGAGCACATGCCCCCAGCTCTGGCCACACAGGCCACCTCCACTCCTGTGTATCACCTGATAGGTTCCCACCCCCAAAGGCTGTTCCCTCTGCCTAGGGGTTCTTCCCTCCTACTCCCCAGATGATTCTGACTCATCTTTCAGGTCAGGAATCACTTCTTCAGGGAAGCTGAACACTAAAATGGGCCCAACCCTCCTGTTACAGTGGGCCAGTGTACCGTGCCTTTCTCCTCCTGCCCCCTGTTACGGCGGCAGTTTTACACTTAGTTGTGTGGTTTGATTCATGTCCCTCCAGCTTAGAGCCTGGCATGTGGAAGATCATCAGTGAATAATGATGGAAAGAGTTTTGAGACGAGGAAGGGTCTTTAAGGGCCTCTGGCCCAAACACTATTTTTCCTCCCTCTCCCTCCCTCCCTTCCTCTCTCTCTTTCTAGTAGAGATGGGGTCTCACTATATTGCCCAGACCTTTCTTGAAATCCTGGGCTCAAGCGATCCTCCCTGCGTAGCCTCCTGTGTACCTGCCTCCTGGAACTACAGATCCTCACCGCTGTGCCCAGCTCCAACCCCTTTCTACATGGAGAAGCTGGGGAAGGGTGCTTAACTAAGGAGACCCAGACCTTTGGGGACAGACTGGGGGTTGAACCCTGGACTCTGGATGGCCAGAATGGTGCGTCTAACTTTTGCTGAAGAAAGGATGAGACACAGGCTAGACAGGCAGTGCCCTGGGTGGGCCCAGGATGGAATGATCCAAGATAAGGCAGGCTCACTTCCAGGGAACCACGTCCAGGGTGCCCAGCACATCGCCCAGGAGGGCTGAAGGGACATGTGATCCTCAGCCTGCAATTCATATGGAACAAGGAGAAGATGAGCAGATGGGGGACTACAGTGAGGGCAGCCCTCCAGGAGCTCAAGGGCATATCTTTCCACAGCTTGTGGCCACTGTGCAGGAGAGGAGTGGGGCCAGTGGACCAGGGTGGACACAGCCTCAGCTTTAGACCCGTACAGCCTGTCTTGGGAGCCCTGGCCCTCTAACTTATTGGCCGTATAAACTTGGGCAAAGTAGTTACCCATACTGACCCCTTATGACCTTTGCAGTTTCCATATCTGCAAAATAAACAGGTGGTCTCTTTTTCACATAGGGTGCAGGTCAATGGTACAGAGAAGGTGCAGCAGACACAAGACATCAAAGAGAAATGGCACGAGTTTGCAGAGTTCTCCAGGAAGGCAGATAACAACCAGAGCACGCATACCCAAAGGCAGTGTACGACCCTTCTCAAGGAGCAGAACCTGCTACTGTCCCAAATCCCCACAGCCTGTTTAGGGGGGCATCGGGCTCCCCTGCCACAGATAAGCCCAAAGAGAGCTGGAATGAGCATCTGCCTTGGGTGTAGAAGGGAGTCCTGCATGGATGGGGTGTTTGCAAGACACGGCTTCAGAGAGCAGGAGATGAAGGGAGGACCCTGGATGCATCTGGAAGAAAGAGTCTAATGTCTACATTAGAGAATCTGAGGTTGGCTAGTTCTAACCTTTACTTGGTGGAGAAATCAGCATAGAAAGACACTATCTACTAAGGGTTTCATGTCACTTTCTCTCTCTATGCCTACACAAATATTGAAGGCCTTGCAGCCAGGGTTCCTACCTGCCCTCCCTTCCCAAGCCTCTCTCTGATACAGCAGTTGGACACCGCGTGGTCTGCAGCTGGCTTCCTCACTCAGCATCACCTATTGCATGGAACCGACATGGTCTACCTCATAGAGCTGTGACCTGGATTCAGTGAGATTGCTTTTGCAAAGTGTTTCACAGTGCCCAACACAGAGGAGGTTTCAACAGATGCCAGCTCATTCCTCCGCCTAGAATCTCCATTGCCATTGAGCTCAGAAGACATGTCTAGCCCCATTCACCACGGACAATAATACCATTATTTCTAGCATGTTTTCCTCCTAGAAAACTACCCATGGTGGGGATTTCAAGTTTTTTTCTGGTCCTCCAGTCATTGGCAACACAACGCGTAAAGACAAAAGGGCTTATGGGATTGCTTCAGGAGACACACAGGGAAGACGTTTGCACATTCTGCCAGTGTTGGTGACTGGGACTGCAGTGGCAGGAAGACAAAGTGAGGAGCTATGGGGGGGGGTCAGGCAGGCCAGAGAAGGAATCAAGATGCTCAAGACATTTCTGCCCCAGAGCCTAGGAGTCAGGAGGCAGTACCTTCCCCCTAGGAGCCCTCTGGAACAGTTCTATCAGTAGCTATTGAATGCATACGTTTGGCTGGCTTCTGTCTCTTCCCCACTGCCCCCTGGTGACCTCAGCCAAGTTAAACAGCATCTCTGGGACTCATGATCATCTCTGCAGGCTCCGGTCATTGCCTGGGCATCCTGGAAGCCTCCTTAGCAGGGTGAGGGGTAGAATCAGGCCGGTTGGACAGAGCCTTCCTAAGACAGCGGCTTTGGAACAACTGATGAGCCTCCAGTTACAAAACCTTGTTTGATTTCTCCACTGCAACTTCCCCAAGCACGAGGCTGCCTGTCCCTCCATCCTCCAGCAAAGGTTCTGACATCAGCAGACCCCAGAGATATGCCTGCTCTGTCCTTTGCAAACCACCAGCACCCTCTCACCTCATCAGGTGCAGCCACCAGCTATCCCCAGGAGCCTCCTCAGTCCCAGAGAGGGCAACAAAATGAGTCAGGCTTCTCCCTCTACTTCCTCTTCTCCTTTCCATTCTCTTCCTTCATTATGCGGCAGACCTTAACACCCCTCTAAATTGCTCTCTCCCCAGCCTCTTCCTGCACTGCAGGGACTCAAAGGCATGTGCCTGAGGAGAGCAGGGAGAAGTCAAACAGAATAACACTTTCCAAACCCATCAATACAAGCATGGGTTGCCATGGCGACAAAGACAGTCCCAGGGAGACTCAGGCAATTGTCCACAATGAAACTTTTTTTTTCATAGGCATAATTTCCTTGTTTGCATCTGAGAGTGACTTCCTGGCTCCTAGGCTCCCGCAGCAATGCAGAGCCTGCAGGAAGGATGTCAGTGCTGGGACTCAAAGGGGAGGGTGGCACAGGCCCCTCATGTGCCTTCCCAGTGGAATGCTCTGGAAATTGTGTTTTTACAGAGCAATTCCTTTAAGGAGAGGTTGGACATGTAGGCTTGTCTCAACCCTGAGCTCAGAATGTGCTCAGGGAGGCCCACAGATGTCAGGGGCATGGCGAGGTAATACATGGAGGTGGTCCAGGAAAAGGCAGGCGACCAGTGGAAGGGACAGGCAGTGTGATGGGAAGCCCCTTGCACAGGACAGCCAGCCCGAGCTGAAGCAAAGGCAGTACAGACGCTCCATCCAGTGCGCTATGACTGACACACTAGCCCCTCATTCCTATCTCGCAGGTAGGGCCTTCTTGGCAAGCTCCCTAGCACCTCTGAGCTGCAGGACCAGCACCTGTAAGATGGACACAGGTGCCACTCCCTCAAGGCTGTTAGGAGCCTTGGCTGTAGCAGTGCCAGGAAAATGCCCGGAGCTGAGCTGCTGCATGGGGTGCTCTGCCCTTCCAAGCCCCTGTCTGTGAGAGCAGGTAAGAAACCAGGGTGGTAGGCAGGGAAGGGAGCTCCTCAGGCAGTGAGTGCTGCCCTGCAGGTGAGAAAGGGGCTGTGTCCCTTATGCAGTGAGTGCCTGTCTCTGCCAGAGCGGAGCAGAGTTCTAAGTGTTTTACATAAAGTGCAAATATCCTGTTATTTGCATTTAATCCTGAAAGCGTATTTTTATTGTCCCAATTTTATAATTGAGAAAACTAGGTCTCAGCGAAGAAACAGATGGACCATTTTCAAGGACAGGTGGGCAGTGAGGCAGCGCCCTCTAATGGTTGACAGCTCAGTGACAAGAGGGCTCCTTTCACATCAGGGCCTTCTCTCCCTTCAGGAAAGGCTCACAGCCAGAGCCCTGTGCACCTGCTCTTTCCCGCAGAGTCTCTCACCCACTTCTCCCCGAGTCTGTGCTGCCCCAGGATGCCCCCACCTCCCCGTGATGCTTCTCAAACACAAAATCCTTCCTTCTCCTGCAGTGATTTCAGCACCCGACTCAGTCTCTCTACCTGCTTCCTTCTCTTGCATCACACACAGGATTCTTTTAAGCTTTTAAAATGGAATCGACCTAATATTGAATAAACGAAGATAGCAACAGCTGAAATGGACATCTACCCCAGCCTCTCAGCTGTCCCGCAGGTCAAGCCCTAATAGCAGAACTGCATCAAAGGCAGCAAAAGAAACAATGTCATGTTTTCTGGCTGCAGGGTTGCCAGCAGCATAAAGAGATCCTGAAAACACCTATTTTCTGAAGAGTCATTCATAAAAAGAGAGGAAAAAGGTTTCTAGAGGTCACAGAGATGATAAGCTTTATGTCCTGCCACGTGTTTTTGTGTGTGGACGTAGCCAGCATCGCCCTCCGTCCATCTGGCACACCCCTGGTTACGTCTCAGGCTCCAGTCCCCTGAACAGCCTCTCTGAGAATGGGGTCCTCTCTTGACACCCCTATCTCTGGTCTCCTTCACTGCCATTATCCACGGGGAACGTCTTTGCCTCTCTCTGACTCTCATCTTCTGGCCTCTCAAATAATTCTGTTCTCCTCAAAACCACCAGCCTCTCTCTGTGTTACTGAAGAATTAACTTTTCCCAGAGAGGCCCAGCCTTTGCTCTTGGCTATGAGAGGTGACTTCTAGGCCCCTGGAATGTCCTGCCTGACCCTGGAGCCAGTTCCCTGCAAGGCCCTTTCTCCACCTGTTTTCAGGGCAAGCCCAGCAGCCCCGATGCCTGATAGTGACAAGCGCAATGGGGCTGAGTCCCCACCCCACCCGGTCTAGGCTCCCAGGCCACACCGGACATCGCCTGCCAGGCCGAGGCATGCTGGGCACCCTGAGACACCACTGCTACTTACAAGCATCCGTGGATGTGGTGTGAACAGGGATGTCTGAAAAGGAAACCACAGAGATTAGAAAGATGGGCATCAAGGAACCCAGTGTTTCATTTTTAAAACCTGCCTTGGTGAGATTTACAAGTGAAAGAATACAGCCCCAAAGCTTCCTGGAACGCTTATTAGTTTTGAAAATTAGATTCACATCGTCCTTTAAAATCCCTGGCTATTTATTTATGAAGGCAGAAATGCACAGTGGTTAGATTCAGGAGCCCTGGAGGCACAAGACCTGAGCTCCAAACCCTATGTGACCTTGGACATGTCTCCTCAGCTTCTACATCCTCATCAGTAAAATGGGAAAGAAACATTCTTCCCTGCAGGTGTCCATAAGAGCCCTGCATGGGACACTGGATTCATGTCACAATGTCTTATTTTCACTACTGCCATCTGCTGGGCATCAGGCAGGGATGCAGGTGCATAGTAGACCAGGTTGGGGAGAGAAGGGGGGGTGGGGAAATCCCACTTGACAGAGCCCAGACTACAAAGACTCTGGCATACTGACCCCTGCAGGCTCCTTCAGTCTGGCCACCCGCACCTAGGCTGTGTTTAAGGCTTCTTAGGTGTCACACTTTCTCCAGCTTCAAAGCTTTTGCAAATACTGTTCCCCTCACCTGGAACATACTGTCCTCTCCGTATCTATGACTAACAAAGGTCATATGGAGACCCACAGGTGTCTTTTAAATGTCGTGTCTTCACGGATCCCTCTTCCCTCTCCACCATGCAAATATAACTTGGGTCCTCATGTGATTCTTGTTGATGTATCTTGTTCTTTTCCTGGATCACATTTACTATCATTTGCAATGTAGGTGTATCTTTGCCACTGTAGGATTAGTTTATCTTCTTCACTAGGCTACAAGCTCTGACAGATCTGATCCACGCAGATGCCTGGGTCCCAGCAGGGGCCCAAAAGAAGCCGTAAATGCACAAAAAACCTCATAGATAATGGTCCTAAATCACAATACATTAAAAGAAGAAGGAAAAAAGGAGCTTCCTATACCTTGTCTTCCATGTCCCCAATTCCCATCCGTTTTCCAGAAGGCACTGTTTTTCAGTTTACCATATTTTTAAATGTTTCCTATATATTTCCACACAATTATAAATGTTTAGAAATATATAACTTTGTGCAAGTTATACAAATAGTAACAGTGACTATACATGGTTACTTAGAGCCATTGACAGGCCTTCACTCATGTGGTCTCACAATAACTCTTAAGAGGTGGACTATCTGTTTCTGTCCTGTCTTATGGATAAGAAAATTGGAGGACACAGAAGCAAACCACAGAATGAAGTTCCAGCTGCTGGTGAATGTCAGGACAGGAACTGGCATCCACATAGGTGGCCTGGGGAGCCTGTGCTCTTCATCTTTCAATATGCAGTGATTGACTAATCAATTTTTTCCACTTAATTCGCCTTGTTCCATTTAATTTGAATATCACTATCTTTTCAAGACCATACACATATTGTATGCATATCAATTTGTAGAATTCCATGATACAGATATTTTGTGATTCATTTAATTTTATGCTTATGATTGTGTGGTCTGTTTCTAATTTTTTATTGTCATAAGTGACACTACAATGCATATCCTTATACATGCTTTTAAAAATGCACACATACAAATATTTCTGCAGGATAAATGCCTAGACATGGAATATCTAAGCTAAGGGGTAGGCACCTTGTGATATATTGGTACTGCCAAGTAACTTCTCAAATAGGTGCGCCCAATCTGTTCTCTCACCAAAATGGTATGAGAGTGTTTGCTGCTCTGCACCCCTGCCAGTGCTGTAGGTTATCAACCTTAAACAAAAATTTGATATGACTAATTCCAACTCTAAAGTTATGTTTCCAATTTCTTCCAACACCCTTATGGAATGTCTGAGTCTCATTTTGATGAGTGTTGCTGGGGCGGAGACACAGTTGTGGAATAATGATTTCGGTTTGACAAAAAACACAGAGTAAGATTCTTTGCCACACTACAAATGGGATTTCTGAGTGCACAGGCTCTCTCCTCTCCTGGTATTCCCTGAGGGGGATAGTAACTGGCCAACTCCTGATACATGTATAGGGTCAGGGCCAGCCCAAGAAGCCATGTGCAAACTTCCCTGAAATCAGGTGGTCAAAACAGAGGATCTCAAGACCAGGAAGAAACATTAAAATGGAAAAAAATAAAAAAGAAAAATGTTCCCCCTTATACAGTTCTTGGGAGTAAGATAAATAATAATAATAGCAGGTTCTAAACTTTTTAATATTTATAATGCACCAGAAACTCTGCTAAATATTTTGTACTGTTTCAGTTAACTTTCACTCCATATGTACAAGATAGCTGGGTATAATATTTTTTTAACAGACGAGAAAACTGACTTTGTTAGACCATAACTATGACCACAATGCCGGTGAATGACAGAGCTGGGAGCCAGGTCTTCGTGCCCTCAAAGCCCACGCTCTTACTGATACTCAACACCAACTTGCCATGCCCACCCTAACACGTATAGAGGGCAGATGAATGAAGGCCAGTTCCTGGGTCATGGTAGTACAGTCTTACCCCGGGCAAACTGCTTCTTGTCTCTGGACCTCAGTTTCCCCAAATGTGACAGGCAGATATGTATTCTCAGTATCTAGCACCCATTCTGATAAATAATTGTGCTTTTGCTGAATAAATCAATAAGCATAGGATGGTTCTTAGAGAAGTGTATATATTTTTGGTTTGTAGGACCTAGGAATAGGCCTAGCTATTGGCAAACACCAATAGGGGAGATATTTAAAACTAAGTAGTGGTGGTTGGTGGAGGGGGAGTATGAATCCCAATATCATAGGAATTCAGAGGAGAAAGAATTAGAAGCAGAGTAACTTACAGTTCCAGGTAACCCGGGAGGGCCTGCAGGACCAGCTTCACCCTAGATGGAGAAATGGAAAATCCATGATCATTAATCCTCCTCCCAACTCTGCTTATGCTGTGACAGATCAGCTAACACTGTTCTCCTGAGACAACAGAATCACCCACCCTGCACCTACCTTCATAGATACATACATATATACATATATACAAATTTACATACGTACATTCCAAATTATAAACTATTTCAGACATATAAAAACATTGTTTTGAGAAGTATCCATCTTGATAAGTGTAGTGGTAGATCATTTATATCACTATACACTATTCTATTGTGTAACCGGTAATAAAGTGAGGGGGGTTCCAAGATGGCTGAATAGGAACAGCTCCAGTCTACAGCTCCCAGTGTGAGCAATGCAGAAGATGGGTGATTTCTGCATTTCCAACTGAGGTACTGGGTTCATCTCACTGTTGGACAGTGGGTACAGCCCACAGAGTGTGAGCCAAAGCAGGGTGGGGCATCACCTCACCTGGGAAGTGCAAGGAGCTGGGGAATTCCCTTTCCTACCCAAGGGAAGCCATGACAGATGGTAACTGGAAAATCGGGACACTCCCACCCTAATACTGTGCTTTTCCAACGCTCTAAGCAAACAACACACCAGGAGATTATATCCTGCACCTGGCTCAGAGGGTCCCACACACCCACGGAGCCTCGCTCATTGTTAGCACAGCAGTCTGAGATCAAACTGCAAGGCAGCAGCGAGGCTGGAGGAGGTGCGTCCGCCATTGCTGAGGCTTCAGTCAGTAAACAAAGCGGCCAGGAAGCTCGAACTGGGTGAAGCCCACCACAACTCAAGAAGACCTGCCTACCTCTGTAGACTCCACCTCTGGGGGCAGGACATAGCTGAACAAAAGGCAGCAGAAACTTCTGCAGACTTAAACATCCCAGTCTGACAGCTTTGAAGAGAGTAGTGGTTCTCCCAGCATGGAGTTTGAGATCTGAGAATGGACAGACTGCCTCCTCAAGTGGGTTCCTGACCCCCAAGTAGCCTAACTGGGAGGCACCTCCAAGTAGGGGCCAACTGACACCTCATACAGCCAGGTGCCCCTCTGAGACAAGGCTTCCAGAGGAAGGATCAGTCAGCAACATTTGCTGTTCTGCAATATTTGCTGTTCTACGCCTCCACTGATGATACCCAGGCAAACAGGGTCTGGAGTGGACCTCCAGCAAACACCAACAGATCTGCAGCTGAGGGTCCTGACTATTACAAGGAAAACTAACAAACAGAAAGGACATCCAAACCAAAACCCCATCTGTACGTCACCATCATCAAAGACCAAAGGTAGATAAAACCACAAAGATGGGGAAAAACCAGGCCAGAAAAGCTGAAAATTCTAAAAATCAAAGTGCCTCATCTCCTCCAAAGGAATGCAGCTCCTCGCCAGCAATGGAACAAAGCAGGATGGAGAATGACTTTGACGAGCTGACAGAAGTAGGCTTCAGACGATCAGTAATAAACTTCTCCAACCTAAAGGAGGATGTTCGAACCCATCGCAAAGAAGCTAAAACCTTGAAAAAAGATTAGATGAATGGCTAACTAGAATAAACAGCATAAAGAAGACCTTAAATGACCTGATGGAGTAGAAAACCATGGCATGAGAACTATGTGATGCATGCACAAGCTTCAGTAGCCGATTCGATCAAGTGAAAGAAAGGGTATCAGTGATTGAAGATCAAATGAATGAAATGAAACAAGAAGAGAAGTTTAGAGAAAAAAGAGTAAAAAGAAACAGACAAAGCCCGCAAGAAATATGGGACTATGTGAAAAGACCAAATCTACATCTGATTGATGTACCTGAAAGTGACGGGGAGAATGGAACCAAGCTGGAAAACACTCTGCAGGATATTACCCAGGAGAACGTCCCCAACCTAGCAAGGCAAACCAACACTCAAATTCAGGTAATACAGAGAATGCCATGAAGATACTCCTCAAGAAGAGTAACTCCAAGACACATAATTGTCAGATTCACCCAAGTTGAAATGAAGGAAAAAATGTTAAGGGCAGTCAGAGAGAAAGGTTGGGTTACCCACAAAGGGAAGCTCATCTGACTAAAAGTAGATCTCTCGGCAGAAACTCTACAAGCCAGAAGAGAGTGGGGGCCAATATTCGACATTCTTAAAGAAAATAATTTTCAACCCAGAATTTCATATCCAGCCAAACTAAGCCTCATAACTGAAGGAGAAATAAAATCCTTTACAGACAAGCAAATGCTGAGAGATTCTGTCACCACCAGGCCTGCCTTACAAGAGCTCCTGAAGGAAGCATTAAACATGGAAATGAACAAC